AAAATAGTGCATTGAAGACAGCAGAAAAACAGATTTTCCTGAGGTTGCTGCATGACTTGTTAGACTGTTAAATGGCTATCTAATCTTTTACTAACAGAAGTCCCTGATAAAAAGAAACAAGGCAAGTTTGACTGTGCTTATTGGGTTTTCATTTCTGACAGAGAATATTTTTTAAAGTTTACCTCTTCTTGACGTTTCAAATATTAACAACCTGAATGCATTATCAATGGCAACAAAGACCCTGACTATGGTGTGTACCATGTTCTTACTACACAATATCCATAATGTAGTAGTTACTTGTCAGTACATTCTCCATCTCCACTCTTAGCTCTGGGTAGGACTTATATGTACAGGGTAACTCCAAAACTGATCCACAGGTGTGTGCAATTGGCCGACGGGCCAGTCCTTCCAAAGCTGTAAATATCACTTCAACATTTGTGACGCAGATGACATCTGAGCCTGTCACAAATCTCAAAAACCTTCTGAGACCCACCTCATCTAATCCTCGAATGTACTGCTGCAGAAATCTGAGGGCTTGTTTCTCTGCTGGAGTCACTGGAGTTGCTTCAATCAGCTTCAGGACCTTTCTGCACGTTGGTTTTTTTTCTTCATACATGACCTGTATTGTTGCTGTTGTGGCTATGGCAGTCCTCAGTGGTTGTCCAGAAACTGCTGACATGTTATCAAGAGCATATTTAGGTTCTTGAATGATTTGTTTGTGTGCTACTTGAAGGAGGACTGCTTTAAGGTTCTCTCGTGTTGGAACCATTTTCACTCCCAGTCGATCCAGTAGATCTAATAACTCATCCTGGGTATCACTGTCAATGTCTTCCTGTAAAGAAGTTGCAATGAGATCTCTCTCACACTGACTAAGATACAACAGGAAAGATTCAAACAGTACGTCATTACACACAGCATGTTCTCCAAATATCAGTGCTGTGGTAAATGCTGGAGCAAGGCGCAATGGAAAGTATCCTTGGTCCAAAAATCCTTTGGCCAATATTCTTCCCACAGCCTTCCATTCTTCCTCTTGCCATTTTGGTGACAGGGATGGCACTCTCATGTCTGCTCCCTCTGCTGCACAATCCAGAAATTCATTCCAAAAAGCAGCATAAACATCCCTGGCCACACCATCTGCATCAGTGCCCTTTTCATTAATAAAGCTGTACTTTAAGGGGTATTTCAGAATCATCTCGTCTTTGAACTGACAAATCATTTCCTCTAACAGATTTACTCTATGTAGTTTNATCTTATCCAGCCAAAAGAAAACAATTTTTGACCTTGTCTTGAGATTGATTTACTAAACAAAATAAACATGTATAAGATTAATAATCCTGTTAGCAAAACCCATAAGATTATTTATCTTGTTAGCCTGAAAATTTCAGTCAAATTCAGTGATTTCAAGAATCTTACAAAGTGAAATTGTCTTGTTCCATTGCCAGATACATTTTCACTTAATTTGAGTCAAAGTTCTAGGCTTAAAAAATTATCTTACATGTTAAAAGATTATTAACATTACACATTCTGTTCTTGTTTAGTAAATTAGTCTAAAAAATGATCAAAAAGATTTTTATGGCTGGATAATTTAAAACTTGGTTAGATGGACAGTTTTTGCAGTGTAGATAAAACATTACAAGTTGGCAAACTTAACATTTGAGAATCACATTGTGCTACATTACTACAATATTATCTTGCTGAAATGTGAAAACCACAATATTTTATGGCAATTCTTTCCATACCAGGAAAAATATTCACTGCAATATTTTCACATAAAAGAATGTTGAACAAAAATAGTGCATTGAAGACAGCAGAAAAACAGATTTTCCTGAGGTTGCTGCATGACTTGTTAGACTGTTAAATGGCTATCTAATCTTTTACTAACAGAAGTCCCTGATAAAAAGAAACAAGGCAAGTTTGACTG